CAGCATCACGTATCTGAAGATGGATGACATTCATGTGATGTTGCAGTTATTGGCGCTGGCATCAGTGGTGAGGACAGCTCAACTTCACTTCACCAAAGAGTTTCACAAGCTCTCTCCCATAAAAATATTCCCACATGCACTGACAAGTGTCTCGAAAGCACATGCAACATGTTATCAAAGCTGCCAACAAAATGGACGGTTACTATGGCTACCTATGCTGGTTGTTCTCTCTATCTGTTATTTACAGGACCACACAGCAAGCAGAATGAAATTCCAATTCTTTGATGTAAACCAATATTCATATTTTCATTGTTTGGATTTCTATGTAAATTTAAGATTAATTTATTAACCTTTGTGAGTCAAATGTGACATGTTTGAAACTGCATACCATGCATTTTATAGTGGCAGGGTAGGTTTACAGAGATTCCATGCTCTGTGTTCATGATAGTTTACACAAACAGCTTTTATACAAGTTGAAGGCATTTTAGATGGTTGCTTGGCATGAGTCTCTTAACATTTTGCTCACAAATAGCGAATATGAACCTTCTCCAACATGATGATTGATGATTTCCTTGTGAGGTTGGAAACAGAATACTTGCAGCACCTGCTGATAACATGATTTCTCTCTTGTCTCAAACCTTGGTAAACTTTGGAGGTTGTGATGCTTATTGGTCTTATAGAGAGCATATCCGCCAAGTTACCACAGTTGTTACAACATGTGCACTATGGAATCCCTTATCATTATGGAGACCAAGTGCTGCCTGTTTACTCAAGAAGAGGGATTGAGTGTTGCTGTCCTGAAGCCCAGAATCGCTGATGTCGTGAGGGACGGACCACCACAGTCAGGGTGCATGAACATTGGTTTGCCTTGCATTAGTGACTCGCCGTCTCATTAGCTCCCTATTAAAATTATGTCATCTTTATATAATTGTCTTTATTAGCTTCTATGTATAGTACAGCTCTTGTGGGAAAACTCCAGAGTTATTCAACACATTCAAAATCACTTACACTGAACATGCTAACAATAGAATATATCAAGTGAAGTTTTCTTGTGGTTATGTCAACTTTAAGATGCTGTTGCATTTCAAACTTACCATCTTATTGACATTAGAGGTTCATGAAGCCAAATCTTGCATTGATGATCTATGGTGTCAGGGTAAATGTGCTCACAGATTTGCATAATCTGATCTTGGTCATGTTTTCTCATGTAACCTCTATTGACTATTTAAATCAAAGATTAACTTTGTTCCCTCCATTAGCTCTTTGAAGTATGCATATACCATACTGGTATCGTATTGTGATATTTGGCACAACCTTGGATCTCCAGTACCCTTGCTGACTGCCAATAAGTGCCAAGGTAGTGATAATGTTTCTGTAATTTTATGCCCTGTCGAATATATGTATGAAGATGTTTAGCATGATTGAACAAGCAATGAGGATACATATCCCATGCAACTATTATGTGCTTAATATTCCAATATAACAGTCCTGGAAAAGGTAATTGTAGAGCTACAGAATGTCTTTTTCCTGATCCACTTACAATTCCATGTAATACATCATTGACTGACAATGGAAAGTGATATATGTCAGTTTCATTTGACCAGAAGTTGACGATTAGCTTATCTTCCAGCCTGGCAGCTGAGGGTCCTAAACCTTTATGGATTTACTGTAATGATATACATTTGAACCCTGCAGGGACCGACATTTATTACAAGGTTGGTGGACTGAGTGGATAAAGTAATATGATGCACTGATTGACATTTCCTCGGCGTACATTCTTGTATTATCATTACCAAACGATGATACCAAAACAACGAATTAGGTCAAGTGAATGTATGGTCTACATCAGGTGTTGTTGATTTATCATTCTCTTGTTTGGTTGGGCGATAACATTGACTTTGACATATTGCTATAAATTACATACTGATTGGTCACTTTAACATTGCTAACAAGAAGATACTTTGTGTTGTTCAAAGTATTTGCCGTGTAGATCATTGCTTACTGTTATCGATTATTAACTTTTTCAATACAGGTGGTACTCGCCGGATTACGTTTATTAATCAAGAACCATTCCAGGAGCAAATGCTTTTGTAAAACTTAATGTTTCTTATTGTAGCACCCAACTCATGCGGCTCTGTAGAGATGTGGGCTTAGCGCCACGCTGGGACTCCACCCAGAAATGAGTGTTCAGGCTCATCAAGAAGTCCTGGACTACAAGCTCATGAATGTCATCGACGAGATGAGGAATGTCCCAGAGCATAATGTTAATTGAAGACATATCTCTAAATTTGCATTTGTTGGGCATTACGGTACTTATTAAAGAGACTATTTATGACCAAATTTTAATCGATTGCCTGCCTTACATCATGAAAGGCTGACATTGTTTGCCTTTGTCAAAGTGACCATGAATATTAAGATATTATATAAATTCTACACTTGTTAATCAGCATGTATGAATATAGGGTAACAGACATTTCATCCCTGAGCGCTTTTGCAAAGAACCCACCAATGTTATGGACAAATTGTAAATTTTGAATTTGCTTTGACTAGAAACACTATATGGAACTGCTTGAATGGACATACAACCGAAAAGATGTACTACCTTCACCTAAGGCTTGGTGTCATGTGATGTCTGGAATATTTTCAGGGTTCCTAGTCAACCTTTAAGGGAAGCACACCATCTATGAAAAAATCCTTTAAGCTACGCTGATCTCTGCTAATCATGCAATCAGAACAATTGACAAGATGGCTGAACAGGTATTAATAGCATAACAATTGCTTGATTATTTTGATTTTTGTTGGGGTTGTTTAAACCCACATTTTGTGAAGTTGAACAGTTGTGTTCCAGTGCTGCAGCCAGGATTTCCTTGGAAGGGGCCAGTTGGCCGCTACCTTTAGAAAATGTGTCCCAATAACCACTAGTGACAAAACCATGAGGCTATCTACATGAATTGCTTCTAGTAAAAAGTACTATAAATAATATTGTTCTATTCAAATTAACTTTGTACATCAAGTCGAGCTCCATACAACAGCAACTCAAGCTCCTTAAAGCCTGATTCATATATAAAAAAGTGTTAAAAATTATAAACATTGCCATTGTTGGTATATACATTTTATAAATAAAGCACCAAGGTAAAGTACAATTAAGCGGGAATCCGCAATTAGAGCGAACTTCCAAGCTGGTCTTCTCAAGAATAACCTATTTTGAATTTCAAATAATGATAAGTAGAATCTATGACACACAAGAATTGGGCAAAATATATAGTTAGTGACTAACAATTATCAGTGAACGGTTGGTTGGTACATGTGTTGAATCAATAATGTTTGCTGATAAGGACCTTTTAACCAAAGTGTTGTGTAAAAACACAAATGTGTTTTCTCCCTCAAGATCGAGGCTACAGATGGCCCAGTCTAAGTTGATGTAAATGACTGTGCAGAGTTATGTCCCCTGGGCACTCCAGAAACCTTATTATCATGGCCTTAGCATGACAAACAAACACTTCTTCTATTTAGGCCATGTTTCTACCCCCAAGTATATCTACATATGGTTGGAAACCTCAGAATATTCAGTAAGTGAGTGAGTGAGTTTAGTTTTACACCGCACTCAGCAATATTCCAGCTATATGGCGGCGGTCTGTAAATAATCGAGTCTGGACCAGACAATCCAGTGATCAACAGCATGAGCATCGATCTGCACAATTGGGAACCGATGACATGTGTGAACCAAGTCAGCGAGCCTGACCACCCGATCCCGTTAGGCCTCTTACAATAAGCATGGGTTACTGAAGGCTCATTCTAACCCGGACCTTCACGGGTTCAGAATATTCAGCATATTTTGAACAGATGTCCGTAGGCTACCAGTGTGTAATGTGTAACATGTAAAACACATCAAATAGAACTACGTGAGTACTGCAGCAGATTTGGACATTTCATTTCATGCCTTGTCATTCCATTTCCATTTCATGGCAGATACTATATTACTGTATATGACCATCTATAAGCCGAATTTTGAGGACCAAAAAGCAGTCTGTAGAAGGGGGTCGTCTTATCCATGGAGTTCGCGTTTCGTCAAACTTTTTCCAGGGTAAGAAAACAACATCGACATCTTCGCATGAACAAACAACAGAAGACGACTTTGTCAGTAGAGGCGTCAAATTTGCAATTAAACATCACTAGACAAGATTATTTACCTTTTAAGTTAAGTTTTTTTTGCTGGGCATTGTATTATTTGCAGGGATTAAGATTACCGTGTGTATCTGAGCCGGAAATAGCAATCAGCTGTGCACACGTTTCCCGGCAAACAAGTTCAAACATGCACAATAATATATAGCGGAATGAATTCTGGCGCGAAGTCATCAGTAAAATATAATACAGAATACCATTATTTTACCCAAAGAAATATATCCTAGCATTGTGTAATTTTAGTTACAGTTTTGCTCTATATATTAATTAAGATTAAGATTACCGTGTGTATTTGAACCGGAAATAGCAATCAGCTGTGCACATGTTTCCCGGCGAACAAGTTCAAACATGCACAATAATATAACGGGACGAATTCTGAAGCAGTCGTCAGTAAAATATAATACAGAATACTATTATTTAACCCAAAGTAATATATCCTAGCATTGTGTAATTTTAATTACAGTTTTTATGTAAAATATATATAATCAACACTAAGGTTATACGGACCCTCACGGACACTGATTTTAAGGGTCAAGTTTGGGGGTCGTCTTATCCATGGGGTCGTCTTATAGACGGTCATATACGGTAAGACTTACCTGCCTTTGCCATTGTATTTACTCTTCTCTCAATCAACCAGTGAGCTCCTCCATTCCATCATCAGGAGCTTTCACTTCTCTCCTGCCACTGGGATACTGGTGTGAGGTACATGTAGTCTTCCCACTTTTCTCAAGACCAGAAGTAACTTCTTGTAGATCTATGAGCATAAGAATGTGACATTTTAGTGACCTGGAATGAACATAGTAGTGTGCTGCTTGCAGGTGCCCCTAGGTGCACCCTGGAAGGCGGCCAAGGCTAAAGAGTGGGACTCAATGACTGTACAGGAGTTCATCAACTCTATTTGCTGGACATGGTAAAGGAATTGTATGTTTTTGTAAAGACCTTTTGGAAATTTATCAGTCAAGAAAGAAGTGTCGGAATTATTTTTTATTTTTGTGCTGTGAGTTAGAGTAGAATAGCTTCTTGACCCAAGAGCCGTCTCTTGGTTCAGATGCTGACTGGAATAGTTACAATGTATGCCTAGGTGAATCATTTATTGTAGCACGATACAATACAGAATTGGACTTAAACATAACTGACCATAGCTATCAGCCATTTGTGCGACTAGAAATGATTACAAACAGGTTGCTGTGACTCAATTGTAAACATGATTAATATATACTCATGGAAACAAATAAGGGAACACTTGAAAGTACAAGTGTTCCTTTATTCTTTTCCAGGTTTCTTCACAAGGTATGTATTGCACTGTGGGTGAAATTCTGGAAATAATTAAAGGAAAAGGAACACTTGTACTTTCATGTGTTCCCTTATTTGTTTCCATGAGCATATTATCTTTCAACTTGATGGTGCTTATAAAAAGCAATTTGAACAGTACAAAACACTGTTAGATTTTGAAAGTGACTGTAAGAATAAGGATGTTTGCTCTTTTTTGGTCTTGCACTTTCAAGTCAATGAGGCATGTTTTTTTCTGTTTTTGGTATATTTCAGGGAAACGAAACGAATAATGAAGATTTTCATCAACGCCCTATTTACAGCTGAGCTCCATCAATTGTCCCTTCTGTACTTCCTTCAATACATCCACAGTGGACAGAATTTCAGCAGGGTGTCTCTCATCACTGGTGGAGCACAGGTAGAATGTTGATTTCAGTCTCAACTCCACAGACAGTGACTACAATGTTAACAGGGTGTCTCTTATCAGTGAGGAATCGCAGGTAGTGTGTTAGTCTCAGTCTTCCCTCCTCAGACAGTGATCTAAATGTTAACTGGTTGTCTCTCATAGCTGATGGATCACAGGTAGAGTGTTACTCAGTCTACCCTCCACCTACAGTGGTCACAATGTAAGCTGGTTGTCTCTCATGGCTGATGGATCACTGGTAGAGTGTCTCTCACCCTCCAGCTGATGGATCACTGGGATCACAGAGTGTTACTCAGTCTACCCTCCACCCACAGTGGTCACCTCACTGAGTCACAGGTAGTCACAATGTGGTCAGCTGTAAGTTGGTTGTCTCTCATAGCTGATGGATCACAGGTAGAGTGTTACTCAGTCTACCCTCCACCCACAGTGGTCACAATGTAAGCTGGTTGTGTCTCTCATAGCTGATGGATCACAGGTAGAGTTAGTGTTACTCAGTCTACCCTCCACCCACAGTGGTCACAATCACAGGTAGAGTGTTACTGTGGTCAAGCTGGTTGTCTCTCATAGCTGATGGATCACAGGTAGAGTGTTACTCAGTCTACCCTCCACCCACAGTGGTCACAATGTAAGCTGGTTGTCTCTCATAGCTGATGGATCACAGGTAGAGTGTTCCTCAGTCTACCCTCCACCCACAGTGGTCACAATGTAAGCTGGTTGTCTCTCATAGCTGATGGATCACAGGTAGAGTGTTACTCAGTCTACCCTCCACCCACAGTGGTCACAATGTAAGCTGGTTGTCTCTCATAGCTGATGGATCACAGGTAGAGTATTAGACAAAGTCTAACCCCACCCACAGTGACCTCAATGTCAACAAGATGTAGCACAGGTTGAATGTTAGTCCAAGTCTCCTGAGGTAATGGTAGAATGCATACAGGACAGTATTTTACATCCGATAAATTTAAGTTTAAGAATATTTTTTATTAAGTTCATGAAATAACAATAATAACAAATATGAAAGTAGTGAGGGAGATGTACGCCTCGCCTTGTACCTCTACTTCTACTGTATACTGTCTGTAAGGATGTCGATATCCTGTCCGTTGCTACGTCAACCAGCTGTTTCAATGTATCAGTCGAAGCGTATATTTCATATATTGATTAGAACATATTACATATTTTAATATATCAATAATGGTTGTGTAGACAGTGTATCTGTCCATTCCCTATAGATGGAGCCTATTGTATTACATGGAATGAATGTTCGTGATTTATGCTTAGTTTCACACAGCTGATGTGCTCAGATATTAAACTCTGCTGCTCTCAATATTCGTTTGTCAGTCTCAGTGCGATTTGCTGTATTTTCTGGCCTATTCAATGATGAGTGTGATAAAAACATGTCATTGTATGAATTTAAGTAGCTGTATGGATGACAAGAGTAACCAGTGCACCTTTAAATAAAGCTGATCCCTACATGGGCATTTATGATTGTGAATATGACAACCATAACATTGACAATATCATATATACTGATAGCATCAGTTAACAAATAGAACAGTGTCATAAGACTCACCTCTTTGAGGAGGCGCTGGTGTAGCCTAGTGGTTACAGCATTTGTTCGTCAAGCCGAAGACCTGGGTTCGATTCCCCATATGGGTACAATGTGTGAAGCCCATTTCTGGTGTACCCCACCATGATATTGCATGAATATTGCTAAAAGCGGTGTAAAACTGAACTCACTCACTCACTCACTCAATCTTCAGGGTTGTTAGCTCAACTGGTAGTACTTTAATATTGACATGATGGCAAGCATCAAGATTCATATCATGGTAACCATGGGAACACATGATTTATACATGATAGATTGGTTGTTTCTGGCATTTACATCTTTAGTGAAGTCCATGATGATGGGTGTACTGCTGAGGGTTTGTCAAATTCACATTCTCTTGATTTGTTTCAAGAGTCTCAAAACTTGTCTGTGAACTCCATTTTTTTATTCAAGTCAAACTAGCAGCTAACACACTAACACATGTAATGATTTCCTTGTTAACATAGAAACAATATCACAGTTTAGCTGGTTGTTACGGGTACCTGAACAAAAATGAATAGATCTGAACCAAATTCATTGCATGCTGTAGAGATTAAACTATCGACAAAACCTGGCATCTTCAACTGAAAACAATTGGAGAAGAAACATTGCGTGCATCCTTGGGTTTCTGTAAATTTGGATGCAATTTTAGGAAAAATGTCATATTGAGTACCACTTAAAATTAATTTCCACATATAATCATATAAGAAGTGAAAATGATGCAATCAGTTGCTTCACGATGTTCTAATGCATCCAAGATCTTTTGTGCTAAGCCATTGTTTATTTCTTTTCCCAGGAGAAGAAGATTGTTGGTGGAACCCAGCAGTTGTCTGAGGGATGAGTGAGTGGCTAGGTGCTGATGTTCATCTCAGCTCCCCCGTCACCAGCGTCACACAGGATGATGCAGGGGCAGTTGTCCACACCGTTGATGGGAAAGTCGTCAAGGTCAGTGATTCACACTTGACACACTGGTGATACCTTTATGAGTCATTTTTTTCTGGATCAGTGGTTGATTTAGTATAAAGCTCTACAGACTTGACTATTGGTACAGAATACCCACGGAAACACATGCTTGAGAAATGTTGATAAACGTACAATCATGGGCAAACAATGGGCAAACAATGCCACTGTAGCTGCATATTTCTGATAGTGATACAAACCTATGAAAACTTGAATGATTATGAAATACCATACTGGTTCGGGTGACTTAAAGAATGTATTCTCTTCACCTCAGTGTAAATACGTGATCAGCGCCATGCCACTCACGCTGCTATCCAGAGTGCGCTTCTCCCCTCCACTCCCCGGTCTGAAGGCCCAGTTGATACAGCGAGTCCCCATGGGCTCCGTCATCAAGACTAACTTGTTCTACAGCACCCCGTTCTGGAGAGAGTTAGGTGAGCACTTGACTCAATATAATGAGTGATTGAGTTTAGTTGTATGCCGCACTCAGCAATATTCCAGTTATATGGCAGCGGTCTGTAAATAATCGAGCCTGGACCAGACAATCCAGTGATCAACTGCAAGAGCATCGATCTGCGCAATTGGGAACCGATGACATCTGTCAACCAAGTCAGCGAGCCTGACCGTCCAGTCCCAGCTCTTACGACAAGCATGGGTTACTGAAGAACAATATTCTAACTCGGACCTTCACGGGTTAGACTCAATATATGGAACTGAGGGGAATAATAGGTTTACACAGAGCACCTCACACAATAAATGGAATGGAGGAAATAACAGCTTCACACTGACAACCTTATTCAATATAAGGAACTGAGGTAATAATAAGTTCACACAAAGCACCTGACAGAATACATGGAACTTTGGGATTATAGATTCTGTCTACAGATGACTCATACAATACATGGAATGGAGGTAATAACAGGTTTACACAGCACCTGACTCAAAATATGGAACTGAGGTCAAATACGTTCTCACAGAGCACCTGACACAATATATTGAACTAAAGGGGATAATAAGTTCTCATAGAGCACTTGACACAATACATGGAACTGAAAGGGATAATAGGATTAACAGAAAACTTCACTTGATACATGGAACTGAAGGAATAATAAGTTCACAGAGAGCACTTGACTGACAATACATGGAACTGAAAGAGATAAGTTTTACTGCTGTTTTTGCCGACTTAACAAATCTACGTTGCACAGCTGTAGTTTATCACTAGTGATGTATAATGTTACAGATCTATCACATAAGTGGCTCAGTGATGTTTCATCACTATAGTCTGTTTGGCTCAAAAGCGGACTAATGAATTGCAATCTAACTTGAAAACTAATAAACATATAATGCTCAATGAAACGCTGATCATAATCAAAACCTTAGACAACTCTGTGATTTTTTTGCAGAATTTATGTCTTAAAAATTTAAAGGTTGTTTAACAAACAGTGATTAAAATATTGACACTGTTCACTATTAGTTACGAGGGGGGGTGCAAAGAGAGGAACAGACAGGTGTGCGAGAAAGGACCGAGATGGCACAGCACAGGTAAATGAATCTATAACTTTGTCAGCACTTGTGCTCATGCTTCTCGTACACCTGGCTGTTCCTCTCTTCGACTCCGCCCTCATAACAAATAGTCAACCGTGTCAACATTTTAATGATAGTTTGTTAAACAAGTTTTATCCCTTATATGGCCAGTTATTAGAACAGAGGTTATGTAGGAAGATATGTACAGGAACAACTGTAACCTCTGTGGCGGCGAGGAAAAGAAATGCAGTTACTAGATCATATGTTCATGTAAAACTGACGAATGCACTATGTTGTTGTATAATGTTACAGATCTAAGTGTGTTTCATCACCTAGTGATGTATAATGTTAAGATTTACATCACACACCTGTTTCATCACTAAATATCATATGATACATATCCCATGTTTTCTATCACTAGTGAATGTTAATTCACCATCACTAGTGAGGTAGTATGTTACAGTGTGTCACACCTATCTAATATTATTCTTATGAATACACATATTTACAGATCATGGGCACAGCAGTGTCTCATCACTGATGATGTAGAGATGTTGGCGAGATATCCAGTGATGTACATGTAGTTAAGTGCACACAGCAGTGTTTCATCACTAGTGTTGTATAATGTTACAGATCTACATGACACAGCTGTGTGTTACCATTAGTGTTGTATAATGTTACAGATCTACATGACACAGCAGTGTTTCATCACTAGTGTTGTATAATGTTACAGATCTACATGACACAGCAGTGTTTCATCACTAGTGTTGTATAATGTTACACATGACACAGCAGTGTTTCATCACTAGTGTTGTATAATGTTACAGATCTACATGACACAGGAGTGTTTCATCACTAGTGTTGTATAATGTTACAGATCTACATGACACAGCAGTGTTTCATCACTAGTGTTGTATAATGTTACAGATCTACATGACACAGCAGTGTTTCATCACTAGTGTTGTATAATGTTACAGATCTACATGACACAGCAGTGTTTCATCACTAGTGTTGTATAATGTTACAGATCTACATGACACAGCAGTGTTTCATCACTAGTGATGTATAATGTTACAGATCTACATGACACAGCAGTGTTTCATCACTAGTGTTGTATAATGTTACAGATCTACATGACACAGCAGTGTTTCATCACTAGTGTTGTATAATGTTACAGATCTACATGACACAGCAGTATTTCATCACTAGTGTTGTATAATGTTACAGATCTACATGACACAGCAGTGTTTCATCACTAGTGTTGTATAATGTTACAGATCTACATGACACAGGAGTGTTTCATCACTAGTGTTGTATAATGTTACAGATCTACATGACACAGCAGTATTTCATCACTAGTGTTGTATAATGTTACAGATCTACATGACACAGCAGTGTTTCATCACTAGTGTTGTATAATGTTACAGATCTACATGACACAGCAGTATTTCATCACTAGTGATGTATAATGTTACAGATCTACATGACACAGCAGTGTTTCATCACTAGTGTTGTATAATGTTACAGATCTACATGACACAGCAGTGTTTCATCACTAGTGTTGTATAATGTTACAGATCTACAGGACACAGCAGTGTTTCATCACTAGTGTTGTATAATGTTACAGATCTACATGACACAGCAGTATTTCATCACTAGTGTTGTATAATGTTACAGATCTACATGACACAGCAGTGTTTCATCACTAGTGTTGTATAATGTTACAGATCTAAGTGACACAGCAGTGTTTCATCACTAGTGTTGTATAATGTTACAGATCTACATGACACAGCTGTGTTTCATCACTAGTGTTGTATAATGTTACAGATCTACAGTGACACAGCAGTATTTCATCACTAGTGTTGTATAATGTTACAGATCTACATGACACAGGAGTGTTTCATCACTAGTGTTGTATAATGTTACAGATCTACATGACACACATCACTAGTGATGTGTGTTTCATCACTAGTGTTTCATCACTAGTATAATGTTACAGATCTACATGACACAGCAGTGTTTCATCACTAGTGTTGTATAATGTTACAGATCTACAGGACACAGCAGTATTTCATCACTAGTGTTGTATAATGTTACAGATCTAAGTGGCACAGGAGTGTTTCATCACTAGTGTTGTATAATGTTACAGATCTAAGTGGCACACCTGTGTCTCATCACTAGTGTTGTATAATGTTACAGATCTAAGTGGCACAGCTGTGTTTCATCACATGTGATGTATATGATTTACAGATCTGAGTGGAATAGCTATGAGTGACACAGGGCCATCTTCGACATGTTTTGATGACACAAAGCCAGACGGCTCCCATCCTTCGATCATGGCCTTCATCCTGGCTGACCAGTGTCGCAGCCTCAGTCAACTTACAAAGGAAGAGAGGTGGGTCACCGTTTATACCAGTCATTTCTATCAAAACACCTTTTAAATAATCTTCTCTTGGTCCAAGAGAACAACCAGTTGATAACATCATCAGCATCCTTGGCCTTCAGTGCACCATATCAGATTGTCAGAATGGTCACAGTACTAGAAACATATTCTGTCCTGGAATTCCCACACAAATGCTAAAATCCAAACTTCAAAAACTTCTGAGAAAGATGAACATAGTAGCACTGGGATAATCATTGTGCACAAAACCTGTGACATTTTGACAGATTATATGTATACATCAGTCTGTAGTTTGCCTGTAAATCTAAAATGTTTTAGCATGTTTAGAGAGTGTGTAATGGTTTCCTTTATCAGAAAATGCAGTTAAGAAACACTCATCCTTGTTGTTGCAAGAATAGTATTTCAATATATTTTATCATGACGTGATACAGGTGTTATGCATCGTTTCAGAAAGCAGAAGCTGTGTCAGCAATTTGCAGATATATTCAAATGCGAGAAGTTTTTGGAGGTAATGGGTTTGATGTTTGTAAATAGTTTTTGTGAAATATGGTATTTCTAGATTGTCATTTATGCTCTTTATTGTATCATAGGTAAATTCTAAGAAAGAGATAAACATATTTGGTTTAGACAATTTGACATCAACAGGGGTGGAAATAACCCATTGCCCGAGTCCAGTGTTTTTTTCTGTCGGGCAAGCAAATTTGTGTATCACACTGTACCTGTGTCCAGATGACTTTCCAATATTAATTATGTCGTTTATTTAAAAAATCAACAAGAAAACGGCCGGTATAGTGGAAAGATTATCAGGGCAAGTGATTTTACATGTGCCACTGTACCGGAGTACACTAGCAATTTTAAAGTTATTTCCACCCCTGATCAATCTTCTTTAGACTTTTCTTATCACTGATACAATACCTCTTCAGCCTGTGGGGTATGTGGAGAAGAACTGGTTGGAGGATGAATATTCTGGGGGATGCTACTCGGTCACACTCCCACCCGGGTACTAACACAGTATGGAAGGTAAGTTGCACCACATTACACTAATTCAGTATTCTGGGGGCGTAGGGGGGTGCTACCTAGTCACACTTCCCCCTGGGATACTAAGACACTGTGGAAGGTAAGCTGTATGACATTACGCTACTTTGAGTGTCATTTTAGAAGCTTTATCTATAAATTTTGTCTACATTGACATTACACTAGTTCAGTATTCTGGGGGCTGCTACACAACCACCCTTCCTCAGGGTTTCTAAGACAGTATGGAAGGTAATCTGTATGACATCATGCAAGTTCAGTATTCTCGGGGGTGCTACTAGTCACACCTCTCCCCCGGAGTACTAACAAAGTATGGAAGTGTAGCCGAGGTCGCCTGAGGAATTTCGGCTCTGGGCCGTTGGGTGCAAGACAAAACAATGTTGATGATGGTATGATTTTATTATGAGGCTGTTGCTGAGGTATCTGAAGAAAGAAAAGATGTTTCCACCTCAGCAACAGCAATTGATAAAATCATACCATCATCAACATTGTTTTGTCTTGCACCATCAACGGATTTTTGTGTGTAAGAGACAAGTTCTGCTCTGAAAGGGCAGATTTGTGGTCAGCTTTTTCAACAGATGTTTTATCATTGTTTTTATAACTTCTTTTTGATCTGTCCTCATTGATTGATTGTATATACATGTATATCTGTGGCTTCCTGTAAATCTAATTGTCACATAATTAGCTGTATATCACTCTGCTGTGTTCATATCTCCTTTTCCTCATTGTTTGTGTCAACTGGCTTTGCCTTATCCCAATTATCATTATTTTTATAACTGCTTTTTGATCGGTCCTCTGTGATTGATAAATATATACATGCACATCTCTGGCTTCCTGTAATTCTGGTATTACATGATATGTTTTTTACATCTGTCTTTAATCACCTGAAGAAGGGGCAAGAAGTAGCCCAGAAACGTTGTGTTATGCAGTAAAGAAGAAGTTGCCATCCATATACTCATCTTATACACTAGTTCAGTATGCAGGGGAAGCTTTGTTATTGACGCTACTGAGGGTTAGAAGTATGGATTGTATTCTGTGTGACATAATGCTATTTCAGCTGCAGAGAAGTGCTTTCTTCATAGAGATATTACGTCATTGCCCCTCCAATGGGGGTGGTCACACAGCATGAACGACTGAGGTAGTTTAGTAGCAAATGGGGAGTTATATGTTTGCGCTTCCCTTGAGTGCTTGCATATTCTAAGATGCTTCGGTGAAAAATCAAAGATGTCGACAGTACTTTATCAGACAATAATGTGCACTTTTTGCATTACATCACAATGTATTGGCATCACTGCGCCATTGTAGTCTGCTCCCTCGTAATCGAACAATTTTGCATTATGTCACAATGTAAGCAACGTTAGATTAATCGTAGTTATCCTTAGAAACTGAAAAGTAGTAAATTTGGCATCTTAGAAAAAAAATACAGTTCTAAGTACCACCATGTATAGTGTAATAAAGCACACTTTCCCCTTGAACTATTATAGTTAAAGCACGAGGACGCTTGTATTTCTTAAGTATTGAACATATAGGACTAATACAGCATGCAGTATTTAAGTCTTCACCTTGACATTTGGTACTTGGCGTCATGCCTTAAACTAATATTTTGCGTAAAACCATCAACTGTTGGGCCTGATCACATGGGTGGACAATAATTTGTCATGCCACCTGAAGATGTTTGTCAGAGTCATGTGTGTTATTTCAGTGGAGACATATTTCATGCATGTGGAGAAATGTTTTCTTCAGGGAGATCAGGAAGCCACACCACCGTCTGTATTTTGCTGGGACAGAAACAGCTACAGAATGGATGGGATTCATGGATGGAGCGATCCAGGCTGGGGAAAGGGCAGCAAGAGAGGTGGGTCACACGTACGTACGTGTTGATACTGGGGTCACCCAGGTGTAGACAGGAAGGTGCCTGGTGTGGACATGGGGGTCCACTGGTGTAGACACTTGCAATTGTTTCCCATTAATAAATATTAATATTTTCAATGCCAATTATAACATTATAAGAAATGTTATATCTGAAATGTGTGTTTAATTTTATTCTATGGGTCCTGTGAATTTTCAATTCTTCAGACAGACATCTGAAAGTTACAGGACCCAATGTCCTGTTACTTTGAAACTCCATTCATGAACACTGCACTGGTGTACACATAGGGGTCCCTGGTGTAGACATGGGGGTCACTGGTCTGGACAGGGGGTCACTGGTGTAGACATAGGGGTCACTAGTGTAGACATGGGGAACACTGGTGTAGACATGGGGGACACTGGTGTAGACATGGGGTCACTGGTGTAGACATGGGGAACACTGGTGTAGACATGGGGGTCACTCGTGTAGACATGGAGAGGGGGCCACTGGTGTAGACATGGGGGCCACTGGTTTAGACATGGGGGCCACTGGTGTAGACATGGGGTCACTGGTGTAGACAGGGGATCCACTGGTGTAGACAGGGGATCCACTGGTGTAGACATGGGGGTCACTGATGTAGACATGGGGTCACTGGTGTAGACAGGGGATCCACTGGTGTAGACAGGGGATCCACTGGTGTAGACATGGGGTCACTGGTGTAGACAGGGGGGCACTGGTGTAGACAGGGGGGCACTGGTGTAGACATGGAGAGGGGTCACTGCTGTAGACATGGGGAACACTGGTGTAGACATGGGGTCACTGGTGTAGACATGGGGACACTGGTGTAGACATGGGGTCACTGGTGTAGACATGGGGACACTGGTGTAGACATGGGGCCACTGGTGTAGACATGGGGTTCACTGGTGTAGACACGGGGTTCACTGGTGTAGACATGGGGTCACTGGTGTCGACATGGGGGCCACTGGTATGGACAGGGGGGTCATTGGTGTAGACATAGGGGATCACTGGTTTAGACAGAGGGACACTGGTGTAGACATGGGGGGCACTGGTTTAGACATGGAGAGGGACACTGGTGTAGACATGCATAGGGGGTCAGTGGTGTAGACATGGGGTCACTGGTGTAGACATTGGTGATCCCTGTGTAGTCAATCAGTTGTGTAGACAAGTAAGTGACTGTGTAAGTTGTACATCTACATTCTTATCAAGTGGTTACTTGAAGAAACAGTTTGCTATTTGCAGGTGTTGTATGATGAGGGTAAGATTAAAGAAGTTTAAAATATTTTTTATTACCTCAAAGGGGATCATTAAGATATACGTTAATGGCATGTGGTCAGTTCGTGTTATTTGGAAGATATCTGACAAATGGGGTGTCCCAAAAGTTGGGTTGACAGACTATACATTCTCATAAGTTGTTACTTGAACAAACAGTTTCTTATTTGCAGGTGTTATTTGCTGAGGGTAAGATTAAAGAATCAGAGATTTTGCAAGATGAACCAGAATCAGAGGACTTCCCTGCCAGGCCCCTCCCGACTTCATGGGTAGAACAGATCATGCCATCTGTGACTGCCATGGTTGCCAGTTTAGTGGTGGCTGGCTGTGTTGCAGGTGTGGCAGTCATTCTCCAGATGCTGGGATAGTGCTTTGTTTGTTTGTCTAACCCCACACTAAGCAAATACTAATATTCTAGCTATATGACAATGACAGGCAATCCAGTGATTGAGATTATGACCATTAACTGCGCATTTTGGATACAATGACATGTTTGCTAAAAGTCAGTTCTAATCGTCCCAGGGTTAACGGAGGATTTGGCTATCATATTGCAGAGGGAGTGATCAGGCTTTCTGAGGACAGGCAATCACTCCGCACATGCTTGGATAGGGATCAGCGGTGGCAGGTTATTAAACTGCATATGCTGTGATATTCTACCCCATCCCCTTCCAAAACAATTAATGAGAAAAACTATTATGAGGAACTGAACAAATGTAATAATTGCTCCTTGTGGAACAACATCTATGTGCAGTGTTCACGAATAGTGTTGCACCCTCAAACAAAGCGGCATATTCTCAGACAGTCCTATGTAAGTCTACAACCCGCCGGCCCCAGTGTCCAACTGCATATTTCATAAAGACTTTGACTGAAGTTGTTACATGTGATACGTCACACTTGTTCTCTGTTTGTAAATTTTACATTTGTTAATAGTTTCAATGCCAATTATAAGAAATGTTATATCTGAAATGTGTGTTTAATTTTTTTCTATGGGTCCTGTGAATTTTCAGTGGGTCAACCAGACATCTGAAACTTACAGGACCCAATGTCCTGTTACTTTGAAACACCATTCATGAACACTGCACTGGTGTACACATAGGGGTCCCTGGTGTAGACATGGGGGTCACTGGTCTGGACAGGGGATCTAAAAGATAGGGCTGCACAGTATTACCTGTATACCAGGAAACTGCAGTACAAAATTGTAACAATTAAGTACAGCAATACGTTATGATATACCAGTTTACTGACAAAGATTTTTTTGTTCAATTTAAACTCACATAAAACTGATCTTGTTCATCCTTTTACCAAAGCTACATTGTCATTGTGACGGATCTGCGCGAACAAACCTTCAGTGTAACGTAAGTAATGTGCTTATGTTGTTACCTCCCTTGATTTGTTTGGAAATGGTGGATGGGGAACATACAGAATTCCAGCTTGTCTCTAGTAAACGTGCTAAGGTCAATGTGTGCATCATTTCGGATTTAGAAAGCAGAAATTGATTGGAAAAATGGAAGAAAACATTGCTATCTGTTAGGGATGTAATGTCAGTGTGAAGTACGCGGGAGGAACAAGCAATTTGTCAATGCACATACGGAGACATCATCCAGCAGTGCTTTCCACCTCAGTCGACAGAAGCAAGAAATCTGTCACTGCAGAAAAACAGCACTGCTTTTCATGCATCGTCACAGCCTTCAATATCTCATGTTTTCACAAGCTGCAAAGTGTACCCAAATAACTTGCACAAAGCCAAGCTGTTAAATGAAAAGGTAGCCAGATTTATTATCAAATTACTACGACCATGCAATATTGTGGATTCCCCTGAATTTTGAGAGCTTACCCAGTGTCTTGATTCATGGTGAGAGGGTTATTCCTAATATGTACTAGGAAATGAAACTAAAATTTGCTGAAATACTGGCTGAAACTGAACAGGTATTTTACGGGTTTTAAAAATCTATGTCTACTTCAAATTTAACTTAAATAAGTTATAAATATTAATTATGAAAAAATGAACTAGTATTGTAAATTATGATTTATTTATTTGTAAAATATCAGAATAATCACAAATTGTTCAATATATCATTTATATCATTTATGCAGGGAATATAGTTGACGCATCGTCCGTCCGTAATCATTTTGTTTTCGGAGCATAGCTCAAGAAACATTCAATATTTCTCAACAAAAATTGGTAGATATATTAAAAAGAAGCTAAAGTGGTGCATTTTGCTATTTGCAGATTTTTGTCATTTTTATTTTTCTTGGTTTCCTTGGAAACGTTTTGGATTAAGGAAACAAAAATCAAGTTGTCAGATGATTTGATCTTTCAAATCTATGGGGCCGGGGGGATTTGTCATCTTCTAATGACTCTTGTTCTAATATAAGTGATGACATGTTTACTACATCAAAGCAGTTTATTAAACCGTTTAGACACAGCTTTTGTCCTTTTGATATATGTAACAGTATGTATGTAAAATGAATTTTCATTACTTTAAACAGGTGTCTTTTTCTAAGCTGTTACTGATCATGATGAAACTAACATTCTGTATATATATTTTCCTAATATTTGAATCTCACTATATCCCTTGTAGTGGTAATAATTAATAATGAATTTCTGTATAAACTAATACTCCATGATAGTTAATTTAACACACACTTTTGCATGCATATATATATTTTATTGTATTGTATTTTATTGTTCTGCCATATGATTTGTTTACTTTGAATGTTTTGGGAAAATTAACAGTTAATTAACATGTAAGTCTATGGAAATTTCACTAATGATGACTCAATTATGGCCACCTACTGCTGCCATTTTAAACACTTTCGCCCGACAGCGTGACATTTGAAAGTAATGAAACCTTATAATCCACGATATGTTCAAGAACATTTCACAATATAAATATATGTAAAACGTAAATGCAACAAATCTTTAACCTTTGCTTTTGAGTATGTATGCAGGGAAGTATATGGGGCCATGTATAAATAGTTGACAATGTACTGCATTTGTGTGCGTCTTCCACATACCATCTTTATATCAACAAAATTTAGTCGAGTAAATATAAGTCACAGAAAACAACAAAAGGCAACAGTTGTATGAGTTACCTTGGTTGTTCCTTCCAGCTGGAGACGTGAGTTTGCATCCTTATTATATGGTGAATATGATGCACATGAGGTATATGTCCTGAGAATTTAGCTGTCCCTTCCAACTAGCAGACGACCAGCTTTTGATACTGCTCTAAGCTGGTTCCCGGTGTCCTCTGCGCGCGTACGAATATGAGAGACGGACGCGTTCGGACAATCGAAGGGAAATAACTCTGGTCAGAGAAAGAAAGAAAGTCACAGTGTTGTAAGTTCAGAAACAATTAATCAAGTTCAAATCTGTCTTAATATCTCGTCCCAACGCAATTTGTTGTTTTTTTTATCTGCTTTAAATTTTTGCTGTTTTAAAATACATTTTTTGGGGTTTTGTTTAAAGTGGGTTTTTCTATATCTATAAATATATCATTTGTGTAAATACGTCTGAAGAGATGGATTGTCAGTACAATGGCACTGGGGAGGGACACAATATAAGTTGTTCACTGGTCACGAGGGGGGCATGGGTTGATGTACCATCCAGGGTACATCAACTCATGGGCCCCGAGGGACCAGTGAACACTTTATCTTACCGAACACCTTAAAGTTAATTTTGAATTGTTTGAAGCACGGGTACAAATATTTTTGTAGCCATCGCTAGATTTTGCTGACAAGAAAAACAGATTTAGAGTTATCTCCCTTCCCTCGATTTGCATTCGCAAAACATCGGTAATTTCCGTATATCATTACGTGATTCAATGGTATTCGAGATAAAGAATTACTACCACGAAGTACCAAATGAGTTGCCATTGACAGCGGGGTGCATTGAAATGTTACTCATTTGTAAGCGGGTACATTGAAAATAATAGAAGAGCGCTCAGCCAATCAGAAAGCGACATTTATGTGTGAGGTAAGATAATGCTTGATGTCAGCACCGAGGGAATACTGAAGTGTAGGTTCTGCGTAGGTCCATATACTATGACAGCACGACTTGAGTCCTCCAGAGTGAGTGAGTTTAGTTTTACGCCTCACTCAGCAATAGTCCAGCTATATGGCGGCGGTCTGTAAATAATCGAGTCTGGACCAGACAATCAACAGTGATCAACAGCCTGAGCATCGATCTGCGCAATTGGGAACCGGTGACAGGTGTCGACCAAGTCAGCGAGCCTGATCACCCGATCCCGTTAGTCGCCCCTTACAACAAGCATAGGTTACTGAAGGTTCATTCTAACCCGGACCTTCACGGGTTCCTCCTTCAGAGAATGTCGACCATCAGGTGTTGATTCTCAGTGCAATACTCATACAAGTGAATGTCGTTATGTTAATCAGGAAACTGTGATAGTTATTTGCTTTTGAAATCAGATGTGCCATTGTTCATTGTTTTTCAAGAAGACCTTTTTTTGTTCAGAGATCCTACTTTTAATATATCTTTGTGTTATCTCGTATGATGGAGAAGGTTAATTTGTTATTGTTGATTTTTGACATAACAAGTTGTTTTTCATACTTACACAATAAAATAGTTGAAAATGGGAACCTGTGTTTTCAAATCTATGTTGAAACTTAACAATTTACGTGGCTGGTTTGGAGGATATACCCCAGCACAGACCACACACGACCATGTAGTTCTATTCCATGGTAATGAATCTGTCAGTTCGTATGCTGGGTCCTTTCTCATCATTAGCACAATATGTGAACATGATTGTTTTTTTACAAACACCGCTAAATTAGGAGATAAACGTACTGTGTTTGGAAATTAGATGAATGTTAGACCGAATTGATAGTCTCTAAATTTCATTTGAAGCCGAACGCGTAGCGTGAGGTTTCAAATGATTAATTTAGAGACTATCAATTCGGTCTAACATTCATCTAATTTCCAAACACAGTACGTTTATCTCCATTCTACCATAACTGATTTAAAATCGAACTTCCTGGTCCTGCGGAAGACACTGCGTAATTCGGCATGGGATGAGAGGCGAATTGAACTCGTCTGATAAAGGAGTGGTAGGTTCCTTTCGTATTTTTGTTAACATTGCAACATAAAAAATATTCTGTCCAAAGAAAACATACTACTGTTTATTCAATGCAATAATGTAACACATAAGAGCTTGGTTTTTATAATCATAACCCCACAAGACCGAAACCAGCCTATTGTTTTGTGTGCCGTGTTACTGTACCCCCCTGTCCACAGTATAATGGAATCGTCTGACCTACTTATTTTCTTGGAAGTAGACAGTTACGCAACAGTTTGAAATGGCGGACGAGCCAGTGTTTACATTTTGCGAAAGGTTGAAATTCGAAGTGACAGTGGAAAATACTTGACTGACTGTCGAACCTGAACCCTGCAGAATCGAAGAATAGATCCTTTTCTGATCGACCTATGACCTGTAAGTCATCAAAGACTGTTAATTTTTATGACCGGGCCGGCGAGTGTCGATCATGATTTCACGTACGTGCCGCAACCCCGGCATGCGAGGAAGAGTGACAGTACTGCTGCTTTGTGTACCTTCGACTAACTTGGGATTCCTTGGAACATTGTTCTCGTCATTTGGGACTGGATTGTGGCCCAGCTTTTCAAAGTGTACGAACATAGCTGCAGTGACAGCCTTCGGGGAACGTGGCAGAGAACTAAATTCTCATGGTTACGTTTTTGACATTTTGAACGATGCAACGGGACATGATGGAGTATGAGTGGCAAATTTTGTGTTTCGCCTGACCGTTATCTTGCGAATTTCCCATTCTAAAGGGAAACAAATATACCATTTACCAGGTAGGTAAATGTTTACAAACGTTTTGCCGCACAAATAGGGATAGATAGGGATGTATTGTTACAAGGTTTTCTGATTTATATGTTAGATATTGTTTGTTTATGTGTGGGGCTGTGTATTGTAATTGAGTTTTAATATTTTTATAATAGAAGGTAATAATTATGATAGTGAGATAGTGATAATAATTGTGGTGGAGAAATCGTATAATTGTATTTTTCGAGTTTTAATAAATGTTTCATCAGTATTTCCATCACGTCTGTTGTGTTGATGTTAGTCATGTTGGTGGCCAAGCTGAAGTAGTGCGGCAGGGTTGTATACGTACGCAGTGAAGCGCCGTGAAACTTTCATCAGACGCATTTTCAATCCAAATTGATACCGTCTGATTTTGTGGCTTTACCAATCAAATTCGAGCATTTCACGTAGCCATGGTAGAATGGAGCGTAAGTTAGGTGCGGATGAGGTAACAGAAAATAGGGTTTAAAATCACGTTCCAGAATACTGATCCTATATAACTAAAGTACTGTCGGAAATAAAATAAACACCTTTCTTCTCATTCATATCTACAATTTATGTAGTTAATATGTGAACGTGTGAAATATGTGTTAAACTAAGTTAGGCCTAACTACACTGTCAGTGGTAAGGATATAGGAAACGTAGAAAAAGGACTTTACTGAGGAGAGATTAGAGCAGAAATGAGCAATGCGAGTGTTTTATAAGTCCAAAGCGACCTATTTGGAACAGACCATGGCTTTATGCAAATTAGTGTACGATGATATTGTATCACAAAGGACACATTTAAATGCCCATTTTGAAATTAAACTTAGCTTCATTATAAACGATAGCTGATGTAAAAATAATAACTTTAATACTGAAACTATTTAGGATGTAGCTACCATGGAGTCTCACGATCACTACAAAAACAAACAGGTAGGAGGGGTCGTCTCAAAAGCAAAACCATGACAGGTGTCGTAGACGGTAGATGGGGTCGGGCTGGGGGATAGAGATATCAGCTGAGATACGACCATCCTTGGGGGGAATTAAACTGGGGAAGCAAACAGCATGCCATAACAATTTACAAATAATACCCAGTCCTGTCGATCTTCGGGTGGTCTTGCCACCTATATATTTTGAGACATTTAATACGATGGCTGATTTAAGCTTTTCTATGGGTATCATATGCTTTTACATATCTCACCATAAACTTTATGAAAGAAAGACACGTAAGAGGTTAATCAGTAGATGAGACATATTCAATACACAAGAAAAAGTATCAAGTATTGAGATGACCCTTGTGACTGTAGGCAGCACATGCATTTCATACCAGATGAGTCGACTGTCCCTCGTCATACCTGGCTGAGCGACCTAATTGCCATCTATAGTCTGATCTATCGTTTTCAGCAGCTATCGGTATTTTTTCTAAGTTTTGCCCGATTTTACGAATAAACATGCTTTTCTGATATCCTATTACGTATCCCACTGAACGCCCAGTTAGGCCGATGTGGGTTATTTCGATATATGCTATTTGGAGTTGTGTAAATTTTGGGGATAGAGGGTAATAGCCTTTTTCCGACATACTTTAAGTGCATGTATACCTATGTCTCTAGTGTGTGTCCTAAAGTACTGTAAAAATATGAATCAACGTTTTTCTTTAACAAATAAATGTTGCATGTTTGTGTTACTTTACTTAATTATTGTTTCTTTATTGAAGAAATGTTAATATAAATGTTAAGTCTTGATAAATAAGTTTCCCGTCATGCATGCACATCTTTATCACAGCGTCCACTATGGCCAACTATTTGCAGTCAATTGTTGCAAAGGGTTATACGTTTTTTGTGCTTGAAAAAGACAGAGGTAAACCTTTCATAGTTTAGAAAGGGTTTATTACAGAATTTGTAGAGCTGTTGGTATGTCTTACCAACAAGTTTACAATATTGTAAACAAATCAGACAAGACAGGGACCGTCTCAAAAGCAAAACCGGTACGTAAAACCATCCTTGACAACTTTGACAAGGGAGTACTTAGAAGGTCGGTCTACAAACTTTATGAGAAGAAGAATATATATATTCTAAAGAAGCTACACCAGTGACTTCGTTAAATCTTTAGCAAATGTTCACAACTAGATTAAACTGACCGAATTACATCCATATTTTTGCAATGAAATGTACTGTTGACAAGCAAAACATTTATTAAAACGTTGCACTTTTCTACAATCAATCGATAAGATAACACAAGTGATAGGATTCTTTCCAATGTACAGTAATTCGTATGTTTATTCAAAACAAACACACATACACACATACACAAATGATCCCTTACATAACCAATACGTAAACTATACGTACACATATTCAACATTTTGAAGAAGACATCTATTGAGATGACCCCTACCCCGAGCGCGTGCTCAGGTGTCAATTTCACCTGTCGATACCGTGCATGCTGATCACGTAACACAGGCAGTTAATGTTTGTATCAAATAACGTCCCACTACCCCTTATTTTTCTAAGTTTTTGGTATTTTCATCAGTAAAAACGCATTTTAGGGCATGTCTCAAAATTTATTCCCTCAGTCAACATTAGGTAGATGTTTCTTAAAGTGATATTTGTTATTTAAGTAACAGTAATACCTCTGAATTATAAATATAGGTCCAAAGGCATTTTTCTTGCATTTCCGACAGAACTTAAGTCAGAACTGATGCTACTGAGATACCTCACTGTTGGCCACGGATATCTTGCTGACACACAGTAGACTGACGCCAAGCTGACTAGTGCTTGTTTTCTCCCCCTTACTGCCGAGCACCAGGCACGGAAGCAACAAGTACCATCTTGTAATGCCTTTGGAATGACGGGACCGAGGATCGAACAACCGAAATTCCTACAAAGACAAGTGCCTTCCCCTTCGTATACTTCGACGCTGAAGACCCGGGTTCGATTTCCCACATGGGTGCAATGTGTGAAGCCAATTTCTGGTGTCACCCGCCGTGATATTGCAGGAATATTGCTAAAGGCGGCGTAAAACCATACTCATTCATTCACTCGTATACTTCGAGGAAGGTTTTATCCGTCGGCTGAGATAACACGCGCTCACCAAATTCAATGATCAGCCAATCCAGATGAGCTGCTTAAGCTCTCGACATATCTCCAATGGCCCTGCAATGTTGATTTAATTGTGAATGGAATGAGAATATTATGTAAACATGAACATAATTCAGATATGAATTTGAGACAAAATCCTATTGTTATGACAATGTCACCACCTCCTCGATATTACCAGGTCATTTCTCTGAATGCGTAGACGTCTGCATATAGTAATAATAATAATAATAATAATAATAGTCTATCTATATTGCTCATTTATCCATATACATTGCATGCTCAAAGAGCTGACGTATTATCCCCTGGTCAACGAGCACACAACACTCCCTGTGGAGAATACAACCGGTCGTCTGTCAGGCGCTAAAGTTTCAAATTTAGACTACCGTCGTATCATACCAGATACCCAATTTACTGCTTGGTGGACAGAGGCAATTTTGAACTCACTTCGTTATGGTGAGACCACATGTATCGGAAGTCCTAGAATCTCTCAGGAGTCAAGCTGCCAAAGACGGTCACCCATCCAAGAACTCTCCGCACCCAACGTTGCTTAACTTCAACTGCTTGTGACCTGAGCTCTGCGCACAGGACCACACACCGCCAGAAAAATAAAATGCAATTCCTCGAAACAGACAACTACTTTATTACTGTATGTATACAATCTCTAACAGGTCCGTAACATTACAATATTCTTATCAACATGAACATTCCCCTTTACCATAAGAACTAAAACGTACATTGTTGATGCTCATGAATGTCCCTATCCACAAACCGGCTAAAGAAGTGCATCTGACCAAGAGTAGAGTTATGATTGATCAAGCAGCAGAAGATTAATTAAACTGGGAAGTAAGGTTATTTCATGTCCAGCCTAACAGTTTGATTCATGAGGAAGTTTATTCACCTTCCCAAATGTTCCGATATCTTGCAGAAGGTTTGCCAGCCCTACCTGCACAAACACCAAGTCAGATTCTGGAGACTTGGGTTCAGCCGTGTCTGTCTTCAGTGGAGTTACACCCTCCAAGACCTCATACTGTGGATCATGGTAAAAGGACATGGCCTCATAGTAGTATTCCATGATCCGTGTAATCTGCTCTCTCAGAAGCATCACATTCTCGTTAGATGTCTGACGGAACGCGCCGTAGTGGTAGTTCAGGATTTGCTGTTGATGTCGTTGACGATCACTGACAGCCGTTCGGAGTTTCTCGAAGGCCTCCTGGATCCTCTGCCTCTGCTCGATGGCTTTCCTTGTGGTCGGTTCCACTACTTTGACAGATGTGATCTTGGAATCAAGGCGGTTGGAGGTGCTCTTCAGACGCTCTTTCTCTTCGTCATATGCATCGTCAAGGTCCTGAGTGTCATGCCCGGCATGCTCCTTTGTGTAGCAGTACAGGCAGATGAGCTTCCGGCAAGATGCCTGGCGGCAATAGAATACAACGGGGTAGTCCGGGTGAGAAGAACACTTCTGTTTCGTCTCCCATTCTGCCAGTGGATGAGAGGTGAGGTCTGCTAGGTTCACGGAGACATGGTTCTTGGTTGACTCCAACTGGGAGTGGTAGCTCTCGCATTGGTCACAAAGAAAATGGTTGCATTCAAAGCAGTAGACTTTTCCTCTGTTGCCATCTAGCTTGTTGGTGCATTGCAGCTTCTCAGGGGCGTGCTTGGCAATGTAAAGGATGAGCTCATTGCGGTGGACATAATCCACTGGAACTCCCTCCCTGCCGATCTGCTCAGCGGAACAGGTCTTGCAGGCGGTGTCGCGGAGGTCTCCGAGTTGTTCCAGACAGGGCTCACAGATAGCGTGGAGGCAGCGCAGTAGCCGGGGATCACGGCGCTTCACAGCGTACTTTTCTTGGCAAAAGGAACAGCCAAGGAGATCGTCATGGTTCATTCTGTGAAGCTGTAATGCCAGAAGGTGTATGATTAATAATCTTATGCTGGGCACTATGAAATGGGAGAAATTGTCACCTCTACAAAGTCATTAGTTATAACATTAGAAGTATGAATTGAGGAATGTTTACTTGCTTGGGAATTTATGTTGACATTTGCTGAAAGAGTAAACCAATTGTTATAACAAAGAGAATGCAACTGAGCATCAGGTCGAAAACATATGACAGAGAACATAATAAGGCGGTAACGATAGCCTCCTGACGTCTTATCATATCTACCTATATGATTATATTTCTAACTATTTGAGTGAATATGGCTTTTAGCAATATTTCAAGAATGTCATGGCGGGGATCACCACAAATGGGCTCCACACATCATAGGTGGGGGGTGCAGGGGTGCGCGCCACCCACCCCCACCCCCAACCCCCAACCCCACCTGTTTAGTTCGAGTCCCTGTCTTCCTGGCGTTTACATACTTGGAATGTCTGCATCACACAAATGACCATAACCTGTACCTCGATCAGAATCAGGTCTAGAACATCTTACAAGTGGAATTTTGCATTTTTTTTGTTATTGATTCCCAAGATTACAAAATCACAGATACAACAGATATACAGAGCCGTGATACATACCGCTTAAAGTAATATAGCTACATGATGTACAGATAAGATATCAATATATTAGTACTTGTACCTCGATCAGAATTAGGTGCAGAACATGTGACAAGTGGAATTATGCATGCTAATATTTGGTTTAAGGTAAAGTGATGGTGTGGAGAGCCTCACGTTTTGATTCCTTGGCGCATCACAGTAATGCATGTATCCAGGAATGAAGTATACTCAACCAAATTAAAAACTTGACACTTGCTAAGTTGAATCCCATGGAATGGAAGTGTGTGTGTGTGTGTGTGGGTGATCATGTAAATAGACGTTTATGTTACTGCTATCACCCGGGTAACAATGCGGACGATGAGAAGTGGATTGCAGCATCATGCAGTCACAAGTCGGTTGCCAAGTTACAGTGACGTCATACGCGGGGCCCCAGGCCTTGGGCCATCTGCAACGGTGCCCGGGCTAGTGCAACTGCTGCACCGGACTGGCCACCGTCATTCCTTCCCATAGCTTGCTTTTGTTGCTGATTTGCGATTTCCGGCATACTCGCTTTTTTTATTTCACTTGCAATTCAAATGCGTGTATTTTCTGTTTAGCAAGGTATGTGTGCACGAGGGTACAAGTGCCGCTGCATGAGATTGTTGGAGGTTTATTGTACTATGAAGAGTCAATTTTCATCACTATATGTCCATATACATTCAGCGACAATTTCCCATTTACGTGGCTGTTTTTATGTAACATTACACAACTTATCATGAAAACGCTTACTATTCCCAACGATTTGCACAGAACGAATTCTTTGCTTTTGGGAAAAAACATTATCTGCAAAGAGACAGGCGTATAGCAAGCCTATCTTTTCGTGTTAGCTGGCTGGCTGGCTGAGTATGGTTTTACGCCGTTTTTAGCAATATTCCAGCAATATCACGGCGGGGACACCAGAAATGGGCTTCACAAGTTGTACCCATGTGGGGAATCGAACCCCGGGCCTTCCGCGTGACGAGCGAACGCTTTAATCACTAGGCTACCCCACCGCCCCTCGTGTTAGCCCGTCAGGGTGCAAGTTAGATAGTACTGAAGGCTTGCCCAACCGTTTTAGCAACAATATGTAAGCCAGGGCTTTTGTTTATAATGGTAGGTACGCCTCTGGCAGGATAACCTTCCACATCAGATGGGTGTTTTCTTATTTGCATGAAAATACCACTAATATATGGACGAACAACTGTACACGAATGCAGACAATGAATAGTTTCCCATATACAACAATTGAACAATATAACTATCCGTGCAGCATTATGCAATTGCAGTAGTTTCGTTGTTTCGGATGAGACTAAAAGCTGCTTACCTCAGAATGAATGGAGGGAATAAAATTGAGCGTCCTATACATGAAACTGGCTACCAACTCTTCCTAAAGTCGAACAGTCGTTGATATCTCTTTCTTGGCAACGCGCCCCTCTCATCAGGTGACCTATCTGCGTCTGAAGACGGTCACGCCATCTCTGTCCAGAAGCAGCTTGCATTACGACTTGTTTTATGTGCTGCTGTAAATTCCGATACTCTTGATCCTGATTTACCTGTGTGGTCCAATGGGAGTGAGGTAAATGTCAGCGTTTGAATATTGGCATAAATAAAATTTATGGTTATTGTCACAATAGCTTGACAACATGTGCAATGACCGATCAATTATTTGCGTTGTCCAACGTCAGCGTGAATTGATGCTGTCTGTATATCGATCAGTGAGACGTTATATTGCAACCGATAATTGTATGTATCTTTTATTGGGTCCTCATGCAAACTATACATACCTTCAGCTGAGTGTCTGTGTGTATAGATATCATATATGGTGTAAAATGAATGCTTGAGGAATTCTTTTCTTACCACGGTTTGTTTGCCGGAACTTCATTACAAATAACACTTCAAACCAATACTAAATATTACCTTTATTTTGTAAACATTTTTAGGTAAAGCATTTTGGGTTATTTGCGTTCTACAAACATCAACTCAGTGCAGGTATGACTTAGTGAGTTGGGTTAAAGGGCCATTTTGACAATACCGCAGATATCACTTTGACTTTTCCAAGGACCAAGTTTTGATGATAAACAGGATTCATTCAATAACAACAAAAAATGGATATGCAATTACACAATCACTGGATAGCCCCATACGGCCTCAGGTTCATAATTAATGGACAGAGGCAAGTGGTCATGTGTGAAAGCGGGTGTTTGGTTGAGCCGTCTGAGAACCGTTGCACATCTGTACCAGAAAGCACAACATTTGCTACTTGGGACTGGAAAGATGAAATACTTAATGCTCTTTAAAAATAACTCTGAGCGTCACATACGTCGTCGTGCTGCTCACGTCGTTGGTGTCAGTGTGATAAACATAACATGGAATCAACACTAGACACTTGGTTCTGTTGCCAGGCGGTATGCAGGTGGTCGACAGCGTTCAAACACAACGGGAAGACCGATTTGTAGTGTAGCACGACGGGATCACTTCTTCACCGCCACTACGACGAGGACGTCAGTTGCATTCACGTTAGTGCTCATACGTGGTGTTAGAGTGTCAACGTGGGGCTGCTCCTACTGAAGAATGGAGCAAACTTCTCTTGGCATTATATTTGTAGCATGATACGACGGTGCTCTGATGTGATCGCATCACGAATATTACATCACGTCGATCACACGCGAGCTTTCTTTAAACAATGAATGGGGATGTTTTGAAGTCCAGTTTTGGTCAGATACTCTTATTTTGGGGGGTGATCTGACAGATAATTGGTCACAAATTGTTTGTTGGCATTGTGCACATGTCAATGCATTTTTGTTCATTAAACATGTCTTCACGCTAAACGTATAACTGTTTGAAGTGTTAGTGTCAGAAGAAAGCATGCAGTGTCACATGCATCAGATGTCTACCAATTCGATAACACATGGTGCTGTCAAACCTTACAGCATAACAGGGATTCGAACCTGCTTTCAAGGATATATTTCGAGCCCAGGGGACACAACTCTGCACAGCTAATTGCGGCGCCTATTACGACTGGGCAACCCATGCTCCCGAGAATATATTGACATGCTTTACAAATTACAGTTATCATAGAAGTTTGGTCTACTGATATTTGTGGTCATACTCATATACCAAGTAAGTAATGGAAAAGCTGAAACTTTCGTGTGAGGCACTGCAGTTCTCTGTGGAGAGAACCTTGCGTTTCAAGAAACCAATAGGCATTGATTCCTGTACCAGATTAGGACTCTAGCTTCATACCCTGATCTATGGTTTCTCTACGGTGGTAAATGTCTGTGAATCACTACAGACTCACGTACTTTCTTTTACACTCACTCACTCACTCTTTCACAAACTCACTCTCTTACTCATTTTGCAAGTTCTTGACTTCAGAGGAGTATAACCCGTGAAGAGCCGGGTTAGAATTGATCTTCAGTAACCCATGCCTGCCGTAAGATCGGATTAACAGGATGGGGTGGTCAGGCTCGCTGACTTGGTTGACACATTTCATCGTATCCTCAATGTGTAGATCGATGTTCATGCTGTTGATCACTGGACTGCCTGGTCCATACACGATTATTTACAGACCGCCGCCATATAGCTGGAATATTGCTGAGTGCAGCGTAAAATCAAACTCACTCACTCACTCACTCACTCACTCACTCATCAGAGTAGCATACAGGCCTAACGTTTGCGATGCTATTGACGCGTTAATCGCCAACTCACCAACGTACTAAAATCTGAATACCTGATACAGTATGGTTCATAATCGGAGGTTAAGGGATGAAACGCTGAGCAACCAATTGAATCCACGTACGCCATTGGGCTACCCGTGCATCCGGTTACATTTAGACTTTTCTGTTTTTCTATCTGCCTCTGACACAGGCAACATGGTGGTTCTTGGTGAGTCTGTTCAGCTCCGAGAAGCATCCATTACTGTACAATAACATGTATCAATGATTTGGTTTGGTTTGTGTTTGGTGTTACGAATCATTGATTTATCACTTTTGCAGGCATATTGACGAAAATATCGTAACATGCTTTAAATTGATATTTTAACGTATTCATTGCAATTATGTTAAGCTAAGCATTTAAAGCCTATTAAAGTACTGTTATAATAAGTGAAATATCATTCCAATGCATCAAGGGTACAGCACCAGTCTATCTGCAAGAGCTTCTCAAGCCATACATTCCATCCAGATCTCTTTGATCCCAGACAAACAACTTGCTGCAAGTCCCAAGAACAACAACGAAGCGCTATGGCGAACGGGCTTTCTTTACACAGCAGCGGTCTAGTGGAACCATCTGCCAGAAAATCATGTGACGATTTCTCAAGTTTTAAACTCTACTCAAGACCCATCGCTCCCGGTCGGCATACCTCTAAAACTCTTCCCAACCTACTTCAAAGCGCTTTGAGCATGGAATTGAACGTGGATATAGCGCTATAGGAATTGACTTTTATTATTTATCATTTGCAAACACCCTTACAAAGCCATAACATTAGTTGTGCTAATAACAGCATAAAGTGGGACATGTTTCAATTCCAGTTTCGGTTTTTAGACTGAGCTTGCTGTTAACTTGGGTCCCAATGTCGACCTCTGAGCAGGTCATACAACTCTGCGAATAAGGTATATTGACAAAACATTTTGTCTTACATAATGGTGTAACGCCCGTTCCAGGTGAATGCATGTATTTCTGTGTTAAATATCAGGCCAGTTCCAATTTGGTTCCCTGAGCATGACCACACATTCCATCTAGGTGCCTTCCACGACAGCCCTGGGTTGCTAGGTAACCCATGTTCACCTAGAATTCCATTTAAGTCTGCCTTCCATCGCATAACGTATACTAGAACATGACACCAGGTTAGCCTTTATTCCCTTTATTCACCGTAAAGCACAAACAATATCACAGAAGTTCATGGTTGAAATTGACCTACCGCAGTGGCCAGACTATAAATATCGTCACACCCAATAGCTCTCAAAAGCAGTGCGCCAGGAACAACTACAACTTCTTCGAGACATGATAAAAATTGAATTTTCCTACACGGCTTCTGACAATTGCATTTAAGCTTCATATCTTTCCAAACATTGTATTTTTGTGCAGCTGCTATCACTGATCCATGAAGTTGTAGTACAGCCATCATATCCGCAAACGCGTCCTTAAGAAGAGAATGTATTTGTCCATACCAAGATGTGACTTACAGCACAAAAAGGTTCTGTGTTATATTACATCTTGAATTCAACTTGATTTGTTGTGGCTTATGCAATATATCGAAATGACAACGAAAAAGACTAGATTAAATTTGTCAAACAATCCTGTGACGATATTTAGAGGCATATCAGAAATAAATCCCTATCTAAATCAATACTTGTATCGATATTACAACAAAATCGTGGTTTACAGACTGATATCTATGTTACGTACTTACTAAACCTACAGACTTTACTTAAGGTGTGAATAACCAAATGGCAACCAACAAACCTATGGTATGGCAAATGTTACAGAAATGTGTCGGAAAATGCAAAATCAACAAACAGTCCAAATCCACGGACTACCACTATCTACATATTCTGGAGAATGAGCCAGGCGATGTTCCTGTCCATCTTCAGATTTGTGCCGCTCACAAACGATGTTTCCACATGGGACAAGTCAGTGTTGTAGACCCCAAACACTGGCCAGAGAGGGCGAGAGATCTTGATGTTATCAGCTGTGAGTAGAACTTTCTCCTCGTTACAATCGATCACCACCAGCCTCTTCTGCTTCTGCATGATGAGGAACCCGAACCGGAGTCGAGCCTTGGAGTCTTGCTGGTTGGGCAGCGTGTGTGGGTGGTGTGACAGCTTCTGTCCGGCTCCCCAGGTTCTGCGGCACAGACCGTCATGTTCTGGGCATTTAGACAGTGAGACTCCCCAAGCATGGGTCTGGTCCTCGGCCTTGTGGTGCAGATCTATGACGTCCCTATCTGCAACAGCTGCTTCAAAGATAAGGCTTCTTCCCTCATGGACCTGCTTGATTTCAATGTCGGTCCAGAACTCCAGGTAGGACATCCCTGTGCCATCTAGAGGACGAGTAGACAAAGCTCCTTTGTAGTTTTTGAATCTCCAGCTTGCACTTGGTGATGGCAGGTACGGAGGATCATTCACCAGTTTCCCATCTTGTGTGACATGATTATCCTCGTATACGGTCCCTTTGTCAAACTCCATGTATACGCCTGAAAACATACAGTTAGAAATTAATTCACGAGGTGCCAATTAACTCTGATTAAAACTGATTTTCACTTCTTCATGTGACCATGTGTCAATTTGATGGGGGTGGGAGACGTTTTCCATTTTGCCGAAATCGAATGTGATACTGTCATTAAAGGAATCACAGTTAACCTGAGACTCGTACCCATGATCATTGGGTTGGTGCATGGCCATGAGACACAGCTATGATCATGTCACATTAAGCCACTGGGTAAGCCCTCGGGCTTTTATGCAATGTATATCTGAGCATGTATTTATGTAATGTGTGGGCAGAAATGTTATGTAACTATATTTCTTTCATGCCTTGTGATCAATATTCCAAGGCAGCGGCTGCCTGATATTATTCGAGTCGGTGAATAAGCAAAGTCCCTAACGATAGGCCAATGATTACACATCATACTTAAAAAAATACACGAGCAAGATTGAATATTCCATTTTGTAACATCAGGGTCCTGGTAAAATATTCTAACTTGTAATCAATTGAGCGGAGAATATGATTCAAATAAGATTATTATATTCAGTTACCAATTCGCAAGCATAGATACATGCATAATGATTGCACAAATTGCCATCAAAGCGCAAGATCAACTTGACTTACACTTGATTAAGTATTCATGTTGGAACAACCCTGGAGAAACTGAGAGAATAGCATCACGATCAGAATCTGTAATTGAAAAACATGGATGTAATTGAGATACTTCGTCAGGCATCAGTTGGATTTTACCCATCAGAAACACAACACTCTAAATAATGATATCTATAATGGTATAGTATATCAGCTGAAAACATGGCATGCATTTTCAGACAACAAAAAGCATTAAAGGTCATATGCTGCTCATATACATTGTCAACTGACAGTTGCCCGGATCCTACATATTTCTAAACCTAAAATGAGAGATCCCATGAATTATGATGCTGAAACACATTGAAAAAACTAAACTCCGTTCCATATTTTACCTGGCTCTGGGGTAATGCTGAATATCATAGTATCTTTTGTGGCAGGACCATCATCGTTCTCCCTCAGTTTCTGCTGGTGGGCATGGACGTAAACGGCCAGTGCAGACGATCCAGGGAACGTGTCATCTTTATTGGGTACAGGTTGGTCTGCTGTCAGATCCTGTTTTGGAGCTGCGCTGTATTGATTTGGTGCAGATCGTTGTTGCGAGGCTTGATCTGGTATGATTTCATCCCTGTTTAGAGTCCTGCCAGCTGGCTGATTTTCTTCATTCGTATATCCACCGTGAGGCGTCTGCCCTGTGGATAGGTTCCTGAACTATCATTACCTGTATCTCTGGTTTGTGGGGCAAGTTGGTTTCCTCTTGGGTCGTATCTTCCGTCATCCGGATTTTTGTACAGAGGGTCTGCATGTCTGCTTTGTGGGTCATGTGGGTTTCCTCTTGCGTCGTATCTTCCGTCATCCGGATTATGGTACATGGGGTCAGCATGTCTGCTTTGTGGGTCGTACTGGTTTCCTCTTGGGTCGTACCTTCCGTCATCCGGATTCCGGTACATGGGGTCAGCATGTCTGCTTTGTGGGTCATACTGGTTTTCTGCAGGTTCATGCCTTCTGTCAACTGGAGTCTGGTAAATGGGGCCGGTATCTCCAGTTCGTGGGTCATATGCATTCGCTCTTTGACGTCTGTCATCTGGACTCTGAGTGGGATCATTTCGTTGGTATGGGTACGCTTCCTGGCTTCTTCTGTCTGGACCGGATTGGCCATCTCTACTGTATGGATCATGGGAAGGAAATCCTCCAGAACCATTTCCCACTGGATAACCATTATAACCAACATCTCTGCTACCTCTCCTGGGAGCAGCTGAACCAGGCTGGGTGTTTCGATCTGGCATTGCATTATGAGGCATGGAATTATAGTCCCTTCCGGCATTATCTGGAGGCATTGATGCTCTACGCACTGGAGGCATGGACTGGAGAGACGATCGCCGCTGCTCCAGAATGATATCATTCTCGGATAGTTCATGCTCTTTTGGAAATGTTCTCTCCTTTACTGCTGCATCAACATCCTTTTCATTGAATACTTTTCCGAACTTTTCAATTTCTTCAACAAGGTCAGTTAGGCCATCATCCCGAAACATGACATTACTCGGAGGAGCTGGGTCAGCAATCTCTTGACTGAGCAGCTCATCTGCTCGTGTGTGAATCATCCCTGTCAAACTTAGCAGCTCGGGTTTCGTTGTGTAGACCAGCGTCTTGTCACAATAAGACTTTGTGTTCTCAAGATGGGCCAGTAAAGACCCGAGGTCGACATCTCCCTTTCCAGACTGTGGGGAATTGTCATCCACTGATGCCAGCAGTTGTTCTTCTCTCTGGTCGATGGCTGCATACAGTGACTCAAAGACCCTGTCCATATCATTTCGCAAGCCTTCTTCTTCATAAGGCGTAGGTTCCTGGGCCTCAAGATCTCTCAGTTGGCCGTTGATCCTGTCAAGGAGTGGGAGCAGACTCTGGCACACGTGACAGGGGAGACTCCCATCTCCCTGCCTCATGTCAACTGGCATCCTGTGCCAATGGTATGGTCTCCTGAAACCAAGGAATGCATACATCACAAATTATGAATGCATGTATATGTTTTAACAGAAATATGCTGCAAAAATTAACAAGTGACTTCACCACTTGAAGATGTGATCCTTTTTTCAAATCTTTAGCATTCATCTCCCATATTTGGATCTTATGATGAAGTGATTAAAGTGAATGAGTATAAATAATCTCAGTATTATACTACCTCATTATGTTAAAACATATAAATCTCATAAAACAACACAGTCTTTGTTGTCGATTGGTAGGAATATATTTACGAAAAAAGCAAAAGTTTACGATATTCATAGTAGCAAAATTTTCCGATATTCAAAGTAGGGTATGAGGCGGTTAGTTAAGGATTTTTAATGTGCTATTGACGATTATATTCTTATCGCTGACTATCGTCACCTGTCACTGAATATAAAACAATACGAACATGACATTCACGTTCATTATCAATCATGGCACAACTGAGCCATTCAGCAAATACCTTCTGCATTCTTATTGATCGTGCATTGCGTTTTATCTATATTCGCCACTGTTGAGATCATATCTAAACAGTTGTACTGCTTTGTTGTCCCGTTGTATGAAATGCGTGACAGAATCTGGAATGCATCTCATTCCGATGGTTATAGATGAAAACTAGATGAAAATTAGAAACATTGTATTTTTTACGGATATTCACTTGAATTCACTTTATTAATTGTACTGTTAGACTTTATTGAAAGATAAATCTCAAATAATGGTCACATGCATTAATTACTGCACTGCGCTATGGACTTTAGAGAAATGACCAGAATTACCTTGAGTGTAAAACTCTAGTGTGCACAGGTATTATCATATCTTGTGTGTCCCCTCTCGTTCTGTCTGATGGCGAATCAAACAAAATCTGCTTCTGTTCTGGTCCATCATTTGTCCACAATCCTGACGCACCATAGTGTGGAGACATCATACTGCCAGCAGATGGATCACTGACTGTTCTGTTTGACCATTCACTACTTGGACTGGTCTTGCGAACGTCATCATTGGGCTTTCTGATACAAAGTGATGTTTCTCCGTACACAGGCATGCCACCATCACCCAAAGGCCGAGAGTCCACATGTCTAGCTGATGGTGCCACTGATGTTTGGCTGGACCATTCACTGCTCGGCACACTCGTATCAACACCATCGGTATTGCTACGTGTTTTGATCTGCAGCGAGGTTTCTGCACATACTGGCATTCCACCATCTTCATCACGCTGATATTTCAGATGTGCAGCTGTTGGATCACTGGCTGTAGGGCTTGACCATTCACTTTTGACAGACTCGTATCAACGCCATCTGTATTGTTGAGTGTCTGGATCTGCAGAGAAGTTTCTTCATAAACTGGCATTGCAGGGTCATCAGTATGTTCAAAATGCACGTGTGGTGGGGCGCTGGCCCTTGTATTGCACCATTCACTGCTTTGGGCACCTTCATCAACGACCTGAGCATATGGAGGTGTATTTGTCCTGCAGGTCAGTGGACTTTGCAGAGATAATTCATCATATATGGACACTCCACCATCATTACCTCCTTGGGACTCTGTGCGGTCAGCGGCCGGCACACTGGCTGTCTGACTGGACCATTCACTGCTTTGAGCATCCTCATCAACGACCTGAGCATATGGGGGCGTATTTGTCCTGCAGGTCAGTGGACTTTGCAGAGATAATTCATCATATATGGACACTCCACCATCATTACCTCCTTGGGACTCTGTGCGGTCAGCGGCCGGCACACTGGCTGTCTGATTGGACCATTCACTGCTTTGAGCATCCTCATCAACGACCTGAGCATATGGGGGCGTATTTGTCCTGCAGGTCAGTGGACTTTGCAGAGATAATTCATCATATATGGACACTCCACCATCATTACCTCCTTGGGACTCTGTGCGGTCAGCGGCCGGCACACTGGCTGTCTGACTGGACCATTCACTGCTTTGAGCATCCTCATCAACGACATGAGAATATGGAGGTGAATTTGTTCTGCCGATCAGGGGACTCTGCAGTGATATTTCATCATGTATGGACACTCCACCATCTTTACATCCTTGAGTCTCTGTGCGGTCAACTGCAGGTTCACTGGCGGTCTTGCTGGACCATTCACTGCTATGGATATCCTTATCCTTATCGTCAGTATCGAGAGGTGTATCAACAACATTCAGTGGGCTATGTAGGCGTGATTTACTCTCCTGTTGGACACTTTCCTCTTCAACAGGCACAGGCTGCGCGACAGACTTGTCTACAACATTAATCGCCTCATCTATCACAATTATTGGTATAGCACCAAAATTGTTCCTGCCTCCACTGATGAACGCACGCTGACCGTTGTCTAGGAAAGTCTCCTTGTGGTCAATAAACAATAGGGACATCTCTGTACAACTGGCAGGTAAGTCTAATGGTAACCTTCCAAAGCTGATTTCCTGGTATCTATTTAACTTTGAAAGCTGTGTGATACCTTCGGACAGAGGAGAGTAAGTCTCATTTGTGCTTAAGTCGTTATTGATAATGCTATTTGAGCTAGATCTGCATTGCTGTTGTAGTCTTGCTAATGGTGTTTCCTCTATGTATACCTGTTCACCAGCTGGCGATAGTGAATAGTTAGTCGATGGAGCAATTGTGCTACTGATGACAGGGCATTCCTTTGTTGTTGAGGGATGCCGATGTGATACGTCCGGAGGTATTGATTTATAGGTTATGTCAGTGGAAGTGCAGTTACCATCTCTTGTATTAAGCTGCTGGTTAAGATCCCTGTCGTCTTCTTTCAACAAAGTTCTTGGGTAATTGTCTTCTATTGGTGAACTGCCTGAGACAGTCGATGCTGGTGATTCCTTGTTCTTTAGTACAAGCCTATCGTCCCTGAAGGGTACTCTTCTTTGTCCTTGTGTCTGGTGTCTATCTAATGATGGAACTCTCCCCAAACGTTGTCCTCGGCCAGCCTGTATTACTGACACTTGGCTGTTTCCTGGTAACTGCATATATTCAGCTAACAGGTCATCGTCTGGTTTGTCGACATCCCATTGTGGGTCACCTGGACCCTGTATTTCCATTACTTTGTTCAGCTGTTCTTGACGACCTGGATGAAATATTGATTGTGTTTGAACTTGGAATTGATTGTCACTTTGTGGTCGGTCTACAGAGACAGGCTGATCTTCAGGTCCTTGACCAGGCTGATTCGTCACCAAATTTCCAGATGTGTTTGCAATAGTTACTTCATCTGTTTGGTTCAGGATATTTTCTGCATCCAGTTGTTTATCACCATCTACTCCTCGTGTCTTTGGCGCATCTATTTTCTTGTCAACCGCCAACTCTTCTATTCGTTGCTGTTGATACTGATTTTCTCGGGGTTCTAAATTAGGTCCGTGTATGTATTTATGTCCCTTAATGGCTCGTTGTTCCGGCTGTTCTTGATTAACTTGATCTAATGTTACTTGCTTCTCCTCTTGAACATTTGTGTTTTCTTTCTGGGAATCATGTCTTGGTCTCTTATC